ATATGGCAGCTTTGTAGAGAGTGAGATGGTGAATGTCTGCCATTTTACTAAGAAAAACACTTAAAATCTGTTAAATAGAAAATGTCAAAGCCTTGCAGAAAAGTGAAACCAACAGGAAATATCAAGAGCTTCTTACAAGGGTACAAGGTTGTTAATACTCCAGTGACTCTATTCCATTAGCACATAATATATGAGGTTTAGAAGGGACATTTTAATGCTGTGTTTAATGCAAAAGAGATTTCAAACAGATCCCAAAAGCTCGACATGAAGATAAAACCTGAGTTTTACATGTTGACGTTTTAGAATATAGCCCACACACTCTTTCTCCCTGTCCCTTAAAGACATTTTTACTTAATGCACTGAACAGTTTTCAAGCCTTCCTAAACTTGCTTCAGGTTCCTAAGTTACTTGGGAATTCTGATAAATCTGCTTTGGTTTTGACAGTCTGCTCCACTGACTATTGCATTTATTAAACCAGCTTTTGGAGCAATGCTGATAATTTTATCTAACAAAAGCCAGGAATAAGTTCTTAAATGCAACAGCCCTCAGGGAAGTCCGGATGGGCTCCACTACACTGGCATAAGGGAACAAGGCACAATATGTAGGATTGCTTCCAAGACTTTTCCAGTCTGAGGTGATGGGCAGAATGTTGGATTGACTTAGCACCTCCTCCTGGGACAAACTCCACCCTCCACTGCAGCTCAGACCCAATCACATAATTCTATTTTCATGAGCCCACAGGTCAGAGCCTTTCATATGTCATTTAACAAGAAAACTATGGGAAATTTTCATACATCGTCGAATTATTTCCCTTCCTCTCCACAAGCTCTCCTTCAACTTATGGCTAGACACTTTATTTTTTTCTGTTCAGCAGTTACAGCACAGTTCATTACAGGTTTGTAAGTTTTAACAGGAAACATTAATTGATATATGAGACCTCACTATATTCTACTACCTATTAAAAGAGACTGGAGAAACTGGGACAACATTTAAAAATGAAATAGAGGATTTTTCTTGTCCAAAATTTCAGAAAAAAGCTATACTTTTACTGATTTTGTAATTCGTTAGTGCAAATCCAGTCCAAAATAAGATAGATGAAAATAGACCTTCTCCTGCTCAGATTGAGAGAGTCTTTACCTTTGTGGTGTTCACTAAGTGCCTCCTCTGGCAATGCTGAAGTCAATGGAAACTTCGCTGACGATTTTAAAAGCAAAGACTCAGAGCCAAATTCCCCATGTATAACTTCAGCCTTACAAAACATTCTGCAGAATTTATATAAACAGCAATAATTTTACTCAGAAGCCAAGTCTCTACCCCAAAGCAATTATTGTACTTGCCCCAGCAGCCCAGAATTTCTATCACACATTCATTTTCAGGATGCAAAACATTACAGTGACTAAGAAAACTGTGCAGCTCCAACATAAAAAGCTTTCCCCACCACTGCTGTTTGTTAGATCAAGTTTTCAATCCCTTTGGTCTTCACAGAAATCCCAGTAACTAATTCAGTGGGCTGTATTTTATAGGCATGAGATTGCAGCTCTCTTTGGACAATCACCAGGCATATATACACATAAATGAGAGGACAGCAGTGACTCTACAGTATGTATGTGCATCACAACAAAACACAACAGAATATGCTTTAGTTGGGGAAAAGACATCCAGCTTTACATACTCCCTTCACATCTGTTAGCTGGCAGGTTTGTATGCTACCCTCCCTGCTCCTCTCATCCTCCCCCTCCTCCAGCTATCCCAGTTAGCATAGGAAAGATCATATTCTACAAGCCTTACTTGTCCAAACCAACAGATATCTACAGATATCCAAAATACTACAGGTCCCAGATTACTTGTGACACCTAAAGAGTTTGTGGTTTGCACATTTTAAGGATAGGTCAAAGTTTTAGCACATGGTAAGGCATTCTTGATTTCAGCTATGAAATGGAAGTGTGTGGTCTTTATTTTTGGTTTTGTTGTTTCAACCTTTTAGATATTTCATAAATTTGGCAATTTCTAAGTAAAATTTAATTCTCAAATTGTTTTTAAGATTATAAAATTAATGATAGACACACTGAAATTAACCTAAAGGAACAGAAATATAAAGCATAGAACCCCATTATATCTACCTACTTAGATTGGAGGATTAGATCCAGGGATGCCATTAGAGCTGAAGCTCTCCATAAAAACCTGAGGTTACAAGTCCAGTTGCTCTAAATAACAAATCCCTCTCTCTTTTCCAGAATCCTTGGGACCTACTTTCCGTGGAGGGAAAGTGAGTTATTATTTCAAAGCACTACCATAACAGTCACAGTCTTAGCTCTACACATGTACATAAGCAGTAATTCATGACTTGAGTCACTAGTTTAGAAGCTTACAGAGATTCATCACCCACTCAGATTTCCTTTCTGTCAGTGATATGAGATCCAAAACATCTCTTTGACCCACTTTTCAAAGGAAGCACAGGCAGAGAGCACATCACAAGGAAATTCTTCTGCTTAGTTTACAGGAAGGCTGCAAGTTAGGACAGCAAGAAGATGTATGTCTGCCCACAAATCCCCCACATCTTTAAATAGCCCACAGACCTTGAAACAGCAAGGATTTTCTTTCCCCTTCCACTCACAAGCCATTTTATCCTTCTTTTTCCTGGACTTACACAATTGTCTAAGAACAGCAGATAGATGAGGAAGGAGAACTCCATGTGTGCAACATGTGACCCATGAAAGGAGAAGCTTTCACATCTGTCTCTCCCAGGTCCAGCTCCCTATACCTTGCCATATTCTGATGTAAATAACTTTTTTTAAAGTTATTTGACACCAAACTATCCTTAAAAACTGTCAGGAAGCAGACTGATTGAAAGGAGAATGGAAGCAGCTGGGGCTAAACATTGGAGTTATGAATCTGGTTGCTAGATAATTCTTAATTTCCAATGTTTTGGTTCTAGATAAATAAGACTATTGTTATTAAAATTGACATATAAAAAGACAGGTAGGGAGGCATACAGGTTTCATGCCCACAGACAATTTAGGACTTAATCCAGAAGAATGTGAAGCAGATGGATTTCTAAAAGTTAAATACAATGAAAATCCTAGGTGCTTATCAGTGCTGATGTTAACACAACATCCACCATGCACGAATAAGCAACTTGTACTTTTTGTATGAAATTACACTTTTGCCATCATAATACCTTTACTGAAGATAAATTTACACATAGGTACTTAAATATATCTTTTAAGTTACAAGATAAAGAATTGTGTGAAATAAGAACAATATTTGTTGAAGTCCTATATCATGTATTAGAAATATATACGTGGTTTAGACTTGGAGGAGTAAGACACTGGTTAGTCATCCCAACTTTTAGACATTGTTAAAAATAAGTCATGGAAACTTAAACACCTTCTAGAATACCATCTAAACTTGTACATCCTTGCAGAAGTTGAAGGGTTGCATAAAACATCACAAGTAAAGTAACAATGCAAGATCAACAAACCAGAACGAGGGTCTTTGGAGGCCAGAAATACAAGAACATTGCATAAGTGAGGACCCTCAGAATTCAGCATTTCATATACTGGGCTGATTCTTAATTTCCACTGTTCTAATAAACTTAGATTTCTGTGAGTTGTACCATTAGATTATTAGGCTCCAAGTGTAGTATAATTATTGATTTGGGATATTACTGTTGATTTAAAACATGAAGGTCTGCTAGAAGTTTAACCTAAATGTACCAAGCTGAACACTAATGATAGTCCAGAGAAAAATAAAACTATTAGAGGTTTGCAACAAGATCCGAAATGCTTTAACAAGTAAGATTCATTTATCACAGCCTCTTGAAGCTGGATGAAGAAAACTTTCACAAAAGTGTACACAACACCTACCATATGAAACATAAATGCAGTAACTGTCAGCACTCACAAGAACACTGTCCACACTCAGAACTCTAAATTCACCCAATCTCTGTATGGGAGAAACTAAAAACTATGCCCTAATCACTCTGCAGAGATTGAAATTCACTACTGATTGCAGAGGATTTTTCACCAGGTGAAGCCATGCTATGCAGATTTGAAAAATCAACTCACTAACACAAGTTGCTAGTAATGTGAGTTAGTAACAGAAACTCAAGTCTTCAATTTCAGCTATCACTTCCTTGCACTGACCTCATTATTTCATGTTGTTTACATCCTGCTGTCTGGAGCAAAAGAAGACCTTAATATACACATTAGTAAGACAAAAACATGTTTTAATTTATCAAGGGAATGAAACACACTTTAATGCAGGATACCTACCAAATAGCACAGATAAACTGAAAACCAAAATATCAGGAAAAGCAAATAATGAGATTTTTCTGTACTAAAGGAAACATGTTTTAACACTTGAAGATATTTAGTTTTTCTCTGTACAGCATTCCAATTAAATACAACTTTGTGGTGTTGATTTACATCTAACCAGAATAAACTCAAACAGGGACTGTATAAAGAAATGGCTCTGGAAACACCTTTTTAAAAGACAAGTTCCAGACAAGTAGATAATCCACCAACATGAACCACTCCAGCACTGTTAAAAGCATGAGGGAAGGAAAGTCATACAATTAAAAAGAAAAGAAAAAAGAGCAACCTGTGACTTATCTGTTTCTCTATAACATGGAGTGCTCCTAAGACTCCCTCTTAGTTAGTACAAGGCAGATAACAGTATCTGTGAATCAGGTTACCTTGAATTACTGACTACATACCTGTATTATTTAAGTCTCAGTATAATTAACACAGCTTCTCATTTTTCATTCTTGTACAGTCCCAAACAGTTTGCAAGCAGAACGAGGTTGCATTGACTACACCCAGTTTTTAAACAGCTAAAATTTGGCAAAGAGGAGGAATTTTAAAGGGTGGGGGAGAAGAGGTAAAGAACCAGCTCCTCGGTATCACAAGAACAAGGTACTGTACCTTTAAGGAGGAAAAACGGTTCCGTTCTGTTTCAGGCTGAAAAAGAGCTTATTCCTGGTTATAGAGATTACTTACCTAAAACTTCAGTTATTCCTCTTTCCCCTCGGGCCAGCCTCTCTTTCACTCTTGGGAGCTTTTACCATTTAAGGTCAATGTTACATCTGGCTCTAGTAACTAAAGCTGAAGCAATTTTTAACTCAGAAATCCAACAGGCTGCCTAACATTAGAATGAGAGTTTAAATTTAAGGTAATTCTTCAGAAAGCTTTTCTTGCCTCAGAGAATTACAGAATTAAAGGCTCTCCTATTCTGGCATAAGAACTCTGGGTACAACACGATGCAGACATCCCATTAGCATTCTTCAAGTTCATTGCATATAAACTCTACTTACTCATTTCTGATTAAAATGGGCAAGTAGGAAGAACAGATGAAACAGTTTACATCATGTTATGTTAACCCTTAGAATTTTTTACTGACACAGATGCTACTATTTTTCATTCCTCTCCCCCTCCCTTTGTTTGGTCAGAAGGAGTCTAAATTAGAGAGCAAATAGAAGGCATGTGAACTTTTAAAGAACGCTGGCTTCGGTCCAGTCATGGGCTCTGCTCTCCACTTGCAGAGTAGGAATAATTCCCACTGAAGTCCACAGAATTTGCTTGTATCTCATAAGAGAATGTAGCTACAAATGAGGCTTGAAGAGGGAAAAGAAACCCAAAACCTTCACCACAGTACATTCAGGTACCTACAGAGCAATTATGTGAATGTGATTCAGAGCTCTCAGCTCTAAAACTGACAGATTTTACTTCAGCCCTTTAGCTGCTTCAGACTATTTACTTACAAGTATTACAATTACATCTACAGATCCTAACTATTAGTTCTCTAATGCCAGGTGCTGGGAAGTTATTAAATGTAAGAAAGCCAAACTCTGTCTAAAAATCCTTTCACAGCTGAAGTAAAGACAAGAGAAAAGAAGGTGGGTAATTAAAATAAATAAAGAAGCAGCAGATCGCATTTAAAATGATTGGATAGTAAGTTTTGAAGGGATATATTATGTCTGTTTTAAGAGAAAGCAGCAAACAATACTAAATTACTGCCTTTTGATAGTGGCTGATAAGATCACTAAGGCAGCAACAAATCAGACAAAGGAAAGTAAGGATTTGATGGTTTGACTTGGAGAACACCATAGGGGACTGGTGCATGGCTTGTAGGAGAAGTGGGCAAAGATGAGCTGATAGCAACAAAGCACAGAAAATTAGAAGCTGAGCACCTGCTTTGTGCCACGTCATGTTTCAGCTGGAAAGCCTATTATTCTACACTTAAGATATTCTTAGTTCCAAAAATCAATATAGTGAAAAAAGGCTCTGAAAAACTTCTGCGACATTGGTGCTTAAGCTTGCTCCCCACATACAGGGAACAGCCAGGTTTTTACAGCACCTTTTCAGGAACTGATGTCCTTTGTCCATACACAGTACTTGACACCATTGCTGACTCTGACAAGGCATTTTAACACACCTCCTTCCATCTTTTTGCATTACTACATTACCCACAAACTCAAGTTCTGAAATACTCTCTTGTGACTCAGCATAGTTTCAGTCTTCCATCTAGCTATCTGCAGTCATAGAATTTTTACTAGCATCTGTAACTGTCCTTTGTCCATGCACAGTACTTGACACCATTGCTGACTCTGACAAGACATTTTAACACACTGCCTTTCATCTTTTTGAATTACTACCTCATTACCCACAAACTCAATTTCTGAAATACTCTCTTGTGACTCAGCATGGTTTCAGTCTTCCATCTAGCTATCTGCAGCCACAGAATTTTTACTAGCATCTGTAATTCATCATTTTTCAGTTTTATAGAATTTCAAGGCCATAAGTGTCAAATGCTTCATTTGTCTACAACAAAAGTTGTGTTTCTGTTAAATCTACTTTCATCCCTTTCAGAGCAATGCTTTGAATCCAGTTTGGGCAAGAACAAGTTGTTTACTGTTCTTCAGTATTATCTTATCATCCTCTGGGAAATAAAACTTTTCACTGAAGTTGCTTGTTCATTGGTCCAGTGTCCTACAACAACTGTTGGCCAAATTTAGCCCAAATTTCTTAAAGTAATTGAGGCCTCATATTTTCAAGTTCCCGGAGAATTAGTGAAAAACCAGTGCTTGTAAACCAGATTTAAACAACTGCCCCCACTATGGGGAAACCTATAGCAGCAGAGTGTCAGTTTTGTTTTGTTTGGCCCCTCCACTTGCAGCACACAAACATGACCCCTGCTGTCTATGCAGGATTTAGGGGACACAGAAGATACTGGAGGTACTCACAAGGGGAGGAAAACAAAGCTTCTGTCAGTCTTCTGCTCCTGAAACTGCTTTGTATATTCTATAGCTTTGGCAGATCCTTTGCCCAGAGATTTGTTTAATGTGAATGATTTCAGGCCAAACAGAGGTGAAAGCTGCTAGCTAAAATCTAAACTATTGAATGACAAAATATTAGCAGCTAAAAATTTAATTATTTCCAGTAGACTGTTAAAATTCTATAAAGAAGGCAGAGTAACATGTACCATAGTAAAAAAGTAATTAGAAAAAAAAGTAAACAAAATATATCACCAGATCTTAAAAAAAACATTCTAATACAGATGGCTTGGCAACTCCCCCATAACACAACATATTTATGTTGCCAGTATTCCTCTATTGTATACCCCTGGGAGAGCATGAAGTTATTTTTTTATAAGTATCTGAAGTATTTCAGAGTATCTAGATGCAGTTCTCTGCAGTTACATATGGTTTGGTGGTTATGGGATGTGTGTGCCCCCACGTCACCAGTTACCTTGCCATTTCCCTGATTTTCACAGTTCTGTGACCTATGAGAAAGCAGCAGTGCAGGAGCAGCAAATTTAACCCAGCAATATTACATTTCCTGAGTTGGCCTCCTCCAGTTCTAAGATTTTTACTTGTGCCTTCGAGGAGGTGAAGACCAGCACTAAAATCCTTGTCACACTGACTCAATAGAGAGTTCTGCCTCTCAGGCTGAAGTAGAGAGAAGATCCACACAGGGACTTCATTTTTGGAACTGTTAAATTTCCTGAGTTGGCCTCCTCAAGTTCTAAGATTTTTACTTGTGCCTTTGAGGAGGTGAAGACCAGCACTAAAATCCTTGTCACACTGACTCAATGGAGAGTTCTGCATCTCCAGAGTAGAGGTAAGATCCACACAGGGACTTGATTTTTGGAACAACCATTTTCAAGCACAAGCTTTGTCTAGCAACAGCAGAAAAGTGATCTTGCCATAATCTTTGGGGTTTTTTCCAGTTTTGGCTTTATTTGAGCAATGTGGGAGATAAGAACTTTTTCAAGCACAAGCTTTGTCTAGCAACAGCAGAAAAGTGATCTTGCCACAATCTTTGTGTTTTTTTTCCAGTTTTGGCTTTATTTGGGCAATGTGGGAGATAAGAACTTCAAATCAAATAGCATATTTGCACAGAAAGAGTTGTAGGTATCTTGATTTGAGTTTTTGAGAATTCTCATTTTTTAAGATTGACTTCATTATTCTCATTACTACTATATTTGAAGATTTTATGCTTCAGGACATAAAAATACTTGCAATAAAATGTTGTTTATTACCCTTCCTGAGCATGTGTAATAACATCCATAATGGCAAGTCACAATTACATGCCCTATTTTTTATCCAGTGACTAAAGTATAAAGATTACTCATCAAACAGGCTAAAAATTTGCAGCAGAAGTGATAACATTTGCACTTACAACTGGAGTTCTAGGAAATGAGTTTTCCTGCTCCATTTTAAAAGCATCTCAAAGGTGTTTTTATCAGTTAAAACTTCACTTGCATCACAGAATTCATCTTTGTCCACCTCCCAAATAACAATGTGCACTGACAATTTTGTTTATTGAATCATTCTCATCATCTTATTTCTCAACTGTATGGAAAACTAGTTAGCGGAGTTAAAGTTTACGCCAAATTTTTGCTGTGTCCTTTTGTTTTCTTGCACATAACATTCTTCCAAATTTAAATATTTAGTTCTGCATCAGATTTGTGTTTTCAATTGTTTTCTGGCTTGTATGTTGCTGCCATCATAGTGCACACAAAAGTGAAGTCACCTTCTCTTATCTGACGGCACCCAGTATGCAAATCTTATTTATGTATGCAATTCTTACCTGCCAGCTTCATCCAGACAGGAGGAAAAATACATTAATAACAATTCTGCTAATTTAATATATTAAACAAAAAAAAATCCAAAGCAAAAACATGCAAAGAAATTCTCCCATCTGGGACTCATTCTGCTGAATATTAAACCCCAAATACAACCCAGAAAAACTGAACTAAAATGTGTGCTGGTTCATAAGTGTGGTATTACTCAATATCACTTTTCCAGTCAGCTATGCTAGATCATTTATGCAAAATGTAACAAACTTTATTAACTTTTAATAATGTTTATGCAGCAACTAGATGAGTCTTCTAAAGGCAGGAAACTTACTTCCAATTTTCTCCAGCAAAAGAGAATCACATGAATCAAAAATGCTAAATTAAAAGAATATGCAGTTGCAGAGCCTGTAGAAGGTAAGGACAAGTTTGCTAGAACCCAGACATCTTAAAGAAAACATCTCTATGGACAACAATGGAAAATCAAGTCTGCTTTGATTCCATGATTGAGGTAGAGATGATCCTCTAAACCAACCCAAGTCAGATGGGAAGATTTGAGACTTTAGGGACAAGGACTCAAAGTGCCTGTAAAACCTCTCTTCATCAAGCCACAAGTCTTTTTATTTACAAAAAACTAATTTTTTCTCAGTCCCAAAATAGCCAGTTAATCTCTATATGAGAAACAGGCAGGGGCCAAGAAACAAAATGTCAATCTGTTTTCCAGTTTTCATTGCCAGATGATCAATAAAATGATCCAAACTGACAAACACAGTTTCAATGCCCAAGTCCTTCTGGACAAATGTTAGTCAAAGTATTTACAAAAATCATTGTATTTTCTTTTCCCATATACATGTCTTCATTTTCTTTTTCCTTCCCCCTTTAAGAAAGTGGTTTTAGAAATAGAGTTCCAATAAAGCACCAAATTAGGATGTTTATAATGACTTATGGGAAAGCAAACAGTATCAGAAATTAAACCTTTGTGGGCAAGGAAGCTACTCTGTTTCCATGCCCTTAAAATCTAGCCTGCCAAGAAGCTAAATATAGCAAATATTTTTAGCACACATAGAATCTTCCAAGGTCATGGATATATTTCACTTAGTCTAATTAATTGTTTTCTGGGGTTGAGCTTTAATTTCTGTTAATAGCAACTGAAATCTTAACATGCCTATAAACAATACATTAAATACATTGTTATGTCATTGTCCTGTATTCTAGGGAAAATCCTTTTGGGAAGATGATACAATTAAAATAAAAAAAGAAAAGCAATGATGGCTTTCGGTTTGTTTTTGGTGTTTTGTTTTTGGTTTTTGGTTTTGGTTTTTTTTTTTTTGGGG